ATGTTCCTTGGGGGCTGATGTTATACAACTTTCTATAATACTCCATGAATACTTTTATGATTTCTTTAGTTGAGTGGGCTATCTCCCCCTTAGGGCTTTTTATCTTTTCTATATAATTTCTGTTTTTTTTTCTTATTCAGGGCTCTCATTAAGTATTTTCCTGGTCTATCACCCCATCTATATCTTTCACTTAATACTTTATTATATACTCTTCTCCTCTCCTCATCCATCAATCTCTCTAATTCATCTTTTTTATCCCTTAACTTCTGTCTTGTTTCTATTGTTATTTTTTTCTTGTGTATCCACTCCAATTCCAGGATTTCCTTTAAGAGTCCACTAACCCTCTCTCTTCTTTCCTTTTTTTTCCTTGCTCCCATCGCAATCAGGATTCCTCTTATATATACCTTATGACTTTCCCATACTGTAGCTGTCGATACTTCCTGCGTTTCATTCTCCTGGAAGTATACCTTAATCTCTTCACTGATCCTCTGCACAATATCCTCATCAAAGAGTAAAGCCTCATTTAACCTCCAACCTAAACCTCCCGTCCACCTTTTTCCCCATCCCATTTTCATCACAACTGGGGCATGGTCCGAAAAAGTTCTTGTCTCTATTTCTATTTTAACCAACATTTCAATGAGTTGATGATCTATTAAGATGTAATCCAGTCTCGAATACATCTCGTGTGCATTAGAGAAGAAGGTATAGTCTCTGTCCTTCATATGCATTATTCTCCAGGTGTCCACCAGTTGGTATTCGTGGATCACCTTCCTCAAAGCTCTCAGGGACCTACCCCCTTCTCTCTGCACAAGGGAGGTTACATCCATCTGTGGGTCCATACAGAGGTTTAAATCTCCTGCTATTATCAAACGCCCTTTTTTAAAATCTATCAATTTTTTTAACAGACCCTTTAGAAAGATCTCAGGTTTCTTATTGGGGGCAATATATATTGGCTAGTGTGCATTCAATTCCCTGTAGTTTACCTTTCAAAAACAGAAATCTCCCTTCCGGGTCAGTCCTTCTATCTTCCAGCTCAAACCTCATATTTTTTGCCAATCCTATTGCCACCCCCTTTGCTCTTTTAGTTGGAGAGTCGGCATAATACCATGTAGGATAATATTTGGATTTTAGTTTCACATTAGATTCTATCTCAAAGTGTGTCTCCTGCAAAAATACCACTGACGTTGCCCTATGATGTAGCTCTTTAAACAACTTGAATCTTTTCCCAGGGCAATTCAACCCATTCACATTATATGTTATAAACTGTATTTCATCCATCCTTCTTAATTTTTATTATCTCTCTTCTAATTCGTCTCCTCCTATTAGGCCCAAATGACTTGCAGAATATTAACCCCACCCCCCCCCCCCCCCCTTCCCCCCTCCCCTCCACCACCCCTCCCACCCTCTCTTTTTTTTCCCCTTCCCATTTTTAGGCGTATAAGCTGCCTACAAATCATTTTGTGGATCCATTTCCACCATTGATTAAAATTTAGGGCGTAAGCTCCACCTATGTACGGCTCACCTCATCTCCGAGCCACCCGATTCCCTCTCTCTATAGTCTAGACTCAGCGAGAGTCTTTACTCTTTACCTCCCACCCTTAACCGTATCCTCTAAGCGGTTCACGACCTCCTGAGGAGGAAAGCCAGTGGCGAGAGAGTGGAGAGAGAAAAAAAAAAAAAAAAAAAAAAAAAAAACTCAGTCTCTACTTAATTCTCCCTCCCCCCTTCCCCCCACGTGCTGCCAGTCCTCTTTTCTTGCATTAGTTATATTTCCTTTGTCTTCTTTTTCTTCTTCCCACCCAGCTATCTCCATTCTATGCAAGTCCAGTCTATCGCAAAAATCTCTTAAATCTTCCGGAAATCGCAAATACGCTGTAACCCCATTTTTCCAGCCAGTTAGAAATGCTGAGGAACCCCATCTATACTGCACATTCTGTTTTCTCATCTGCTCCAACAGGGGTTTGAGGGATCTCCTTCTCCTTAGGGTCTCTACTGTTAAGTCCGCATAAATTTGGATACTCAAGTCTCCGAACTTAATTAATGATCTTCCCTTGGTCTTCTTCCAGATCTCCTCTTTGACCCCAAATTTTTGGAACTGGACAATTATGTCCCTCGGTCTTTCCTTCTCGGTAGCCTGATTGAACTTTCCTATTCTAAATACTCCGTCTAACTTGATCCCATCTGTTTCAGGTCTATCTCTTATGGAGTTTAGAATTTTTTTAACTAGTTCGTATAATGTTTCCCCTTAGCAGTCTCTGGGATTCCTCGTAATCTAAGATTACACCTTCTTTCTTTATTTTCTTGAACTTCCATCCTATAGATCATTTTTTTCTGGTTATTTTCTAATTGGCTTATTTTTTTCCTTAGATTATCTATGTTCTGGGCCTGGGTTTTTAACTTTCTCCTCCGTTTCTTCCATTCTTGCTAGCAGATGTCCTAAATCGTTTCGAATAGCTGTCATTTCATGTTTTATCGTTTTTTTCCAGATTTTGAAACATTTCAGTCATCTCCTTCTTATTTGGTACCTGTAGTTCACCTTCAGATCCTTTCCTTCCCAGGCCATCCACTATTTGTTGGCTACTGCTGCTATTCAAGCCCATTGATAATCTAGGACTACTTCCTGAACTAGTGTCCATTTCCCCCTTTATACCTTGGGCCCTTTCTGGCGTAGTATTTCCATATGATGTATATTTCTTTATTGTTCCTGTTTGGGACCCTTTGGGCCCTGCTCCCTTGGGACCTTTATTCTTCATATCCTTTAAATATCTTGGTAGACTTGCAATTTTTCCTATATCCTTTACTCTCCTAGGGCACCTGGGCCTCCTCTCTTCTTATCTTCTAACCCCTGGGAATCCTCCCCCTCCTTCACCCCTTAGTAGCCTAAATCACTCAGGGGTTCACCACACAATAAGCTCCCAGCATTTTTCACTCACCCTTCCCTTCTCAGGACGGTGACTCCATACTTGTGTGGGAGGTCTTCACTGCTGCTCAGTCCTGGGGGGGGGATTCCTCAGGGTTTCCGATACTGTTTTTCTTTCTTTCCTCCTCCTTTCTCGGTCCTTAGAAGTCGACTCAGGGAAGGAGGGTAGTTCGTCTGGTATTTATGGGTCTCCCTGCCCCAGGGTCAAACAGCCGTCCAGGGGGTACAGGCAGCTATACGCCGGCAACACCCTGTCACATCAGGGCGCCAGCCAGCATCCACTTTCCCCTCCAGGGGTCCTCCGTAGCTGGCCCCTTACTCCTGCAGCATCTCTCCTCCTCTAGCCGCACGGGTTTTCACTCATGTGGTGCCAGGGGAGCCGACCTGTCACTACCTCTCCACGAGGGAACCGGCCGGCGTCTCTACTTCCCAGTCGTCCTTTGCGGCTCACGCCTCCCAGCTTCGTTTCCCCGGCAACCCGGCATCTGCGCTGGATCTCCCCAGCAAGTTCACCTCCCGGATGTCCGTACACGCTCCGCTCTCCGCTTCTGCCGCTCGCTCCCCAGGTCCCTCCACAATCAGGTAGGGCTTCACTTCATGAGGGTCTCGGGGTGGTCGGGAATGAGATTATCGGAGAGCACTCACATCGTGCTCTCCGACGCCGCCATGTCTAGGCTCCGCCCTCCATCTGACTACCTGCATACTACATCCTCCTCCCTTGAGCGTTTTCCAAATGATTTATCAGCAAAACAAAGCATGGCGGAGTTTGTTTTAAATATTAAAAATGAATTAAATAGCATTTTGTGGTACTCAGATGCAGTGCAGTTCCACTTTAAAAGATAGTATGCATGTTGCTCGGTGTTTTGAGCAACTCGCTCACAAACTAGCAGCCAAACCTCTGCGTCTCCAGTAGCTCAGCTCCTGTGAACCCTCCAATGACCACAGTGTCCCCTGTATTTCAGATCCTGTATTGACTCACTGCCCCCATGCACTGCAGCCTGTGTCCAGTGTCCCTATGAACACCAAGCTGCATTCAGTATCTTCAGTGACCCTGTGCTCTCCAGCCCTACATCCAGTGTCCCTGTGTGACCTCTGAGGAACCCAGTGCTGCTAAAGACTCTGGTTCCTGTGTTTTTGGTGTCCCAGGCACCCTTTCCTGTCACTCCTGCCTCTGATCTCAGCACCACTGTGTACTGAAAGAGCCTCTCTCTCTACTATACCAGTGCTCTATCCTCTGAAGCTGCCTTTTCAGGTGCAGTTAGAGGGCTGCAACATGGGAGCCATCACCAGCAAAACTCATCAACCCCCAGAGTGCTCTGTAGAACACTAGATGGCTCCTGAGACTCTGTACCTCAGCCCTTTTAAGGGCTCTCACTTCAGAGCTCAGAGTCTTCATGCACGCTGGACGTTTTTACACTTTTGGCATTTTTTTCTACAACCAGTAAACTCCCCAGCATGTTATCCTATGTGTCCATGCACACATAGGCTGTAATCAGCGTTTTTTTTTTTTGGCAGGGGAAAAAAAAAAAAAAAAAAAAAAAAACAGAACTATTGGGTTTCTAGAGGAGTCTTTTAGCTGTAAAACGGGCATTTTTGGACTTTTTTTGAGCAAAAAAAAGTTAAAAAAAAAAAAAAAAAAAAAAAAAAAGTGGCTAAACGCTAATGCAAAAAAGCTAAAAAACTGCTGAAAAGCTTTTTAACGTGACTTTACACAGCTAAAGCTACCAGTGTTATTAAAATGCCCAGTGTGCATGGAGCCTTATTGTGGGTCACCAGGTATCCTGCCTCCCTACTATCTGCTGTCTCTCCATGACTCCCCAAAAGTACTCGACACCTCTTCCATGGCCTATGTAACCACCCAATCCCAGCTCCTACTGTCAAGTCCTGCAGTCCCTAGTGGGAACAGACTTCTTTCATTACAGCTTGACAGCATGTTCCCAAAGTCACATTTTCCAGGCACTTATTAGCTGCCTTGGCAAAAGTCCCATTAGAGAACAGCCACTAAACTGTCTGAGAAAAATTTATTCTTAAAAAGGTAACAATAGAAAATCAGATAAAGTATTTAGGCAATATTCCTTACCTGCAGATTAAGGGATATACTTATTAGAAAACTTCCAACAATAGATAAAACGATGCCAAAGATTTCATTCTGAAAACAGAGAAAGGCAAGCATGTGATTATTACTTACAGATACGCAAGGCAGACTTATTTACATAACAAATCATTAATCGCAAAAACGATCCCGCTCGGTTTAACAAATGTTACTTTTTTAGTAAAAGACTGTACAGCAAGCCTGTATACGTGAACTGACTGCATATCCAAAGTGGATTCTGTGTATTCAGATTGTAATCTATTGCAGTGTAAATCGCTAAAGCCAGCCATACAGGTCCTAAACGTCGGCTGCTATGAGCAGACTCTGTTTAACAGGTCAGGTTTTGCCCGATCAATCAATGCCGGTGGCTATAGCCGGCAGCACTGATCAATGTATTGTTGTTGGAATACTATGTTCATGTATTTTGTGCAACAATTACATCATTATTCAGTAGAGCTATATATTTCAACTAGTAGATGGCACAGTTTATAAGTTTGTAGCTGCTGGTAAAACTCTATGTCTTTTATACAGTTTCCTGTTTCCTTGTTGCAGTGAAACCGAAAACCACATGTGGACTGTGCATGGTCTGTTCTGTAGGGCTATTATAATTTCTAACAACTCTGATAGTGGGGAAGTGGGGAAGAGTTTTTCAGCTTTATATAGCATTTTTTGCATTAGCGATTAGCAGTGTTTTGCCACGTTAAACAGCGTTTTCCTGTGTTTTTCTGTGTTTGTGTATAGCGTTTTTACAGCTAAAAAACTCCTCTAGAAACCCACTAGTCCTGGGTTTTTTTTTCCAGCCAAAAAACGTCCCAGCCAAAAAATGTTGATTACAGTGTATGTATGCATGGACACATAGGATAACATGCTGGGGGGTTTACTAGCTGTAGAAAAAAAAAAACGTCAAAAGCAAAAAACAGCAGCTGTAAAAACATCAAGTGTGCATGAGGACTTATTGAAATGTCAAAAACAACATTTTATAGCACACAAATGCAAACATACTGCATTTTTAAAATTTTTATTTATTACATATATTTTTTACAGCACTGACAATTTATACAGCCCTCAAGGAGCTTACACTCTAACTCACATACATACATATACACGCACATACAGGGATCAATTTAGACAGAAGGTAAATCTACTAGCAGGTTTTTGGAGCTTGAAACCAAACCAGAGTACCCGAAAGGAAGACCTGGGGAAGATGGAAGCCCTGTCAGTGTCATTTTAAAGGTAGGTATTTCATGATGAGCTAGTATATGATGCATACTAGCACAATATGCCATTGCCTTGCAGGGGATTTTTTTATTTTTAAATGCAAGACTTTACTACAGCTTTTAGGGTCCTTTCACACGGGCGTTTGTTTTTTTTTTTTTTTCTTCAGTTCGGTCACAGTTTTTTCAAAGAAAAAAAACGGATGAGTTTTACATCAGTTTTTTTCATCCATTTAAATCAGCTTTTTCATCCGTTTTTTTTGATCGGTTTACATCAGTTTTTTTGGTCCATTTACATCCATTGATATCCGTTTTTTAGTTCGTTCTGGGTTTTTTTGCAGAAGAAAAAAATAGGATTTTCTTCCGTTCAAAAAAACAGATGCGGACATTAACGGATGTAAAAAGTTGTTCATCTGTTTAACATCCCAAAGTCCACAGAAATACATGGGGGTCTGTTTTTCTTCTGTAAACGGACAGATGAAAACCGGACATATGGAACGCCCGTGTGAAAGGGGCATAATACTTTAAAGGCACAGGTCTGGAATAATTATACAGATCCAGGGTTATGACTCAATAGGCTGTATTATTGTTCCAGGTGAGTGATCAAGGTATTGATGCCAGAGAAAGTCATCTAGAAGGTCGGCAATGGCGACTCTTTGTATTTAACACCTCAGAATAAAGAAAAAAATATCTGTCAGCAACACTAGTCATTGATGTGCCTGCTCCTGATAGGAATGTTCTCCAGTACATTGACTGTCAGCCTGGTTTTCAGTAGAAGGCTTTGGGCACCAGAAAAAAAAAAAAAAGGGTAAAAATAAAAGACTGTTCTCGATGTGCTGCCATATTTTCCTGTTCCTGTTCTAGACATGCTGGCTTCCTTCTTTGGCCTTTGGATGACTGCTGATTGTAACTCCTGAGCTTGATCACTGGAGTTAGTGTTCGGCAAAAAGTGACATACAAGCCAAAAAGGAAGAGAGACACACACTACAATCACAGTATTTTTGCGCCTGTTTGCAACATGTCTAAAACCTAACTCTCAAACCAAGTAATTATATTATTATTAATGGCATCCCTCAATTTATTATTTGGTAGCACACCCATTGGAAATAATAACTGAAATCAATTGCTTACTGTAACCAATGAGTTTCTTACACTTCTCTACTAGAATATTGGACCACTCTTCTTTCGCCAACTGCTCCAGGGCTCCAGTGGAAGGGTTCCTTTTCCCAATTGCTGTTTTGAGATCTCTCCACAGGTTATCTGTGGGATTACGATCTGGACTCATTGTTGGCCAGTTCAGTACTCTTCAGCGCTTTGTCTGAAACCATTTCTGGGTGTTTTTTGATGTGTGCTTTGGGTTATTGTCCTGCTGTAAGACCTATGACCTCTGCTGGAGACCCAACTTTCTATCACAGGGCCCTACATTGCACCCCAATATTCTTTGGTAGTCTTCAGATTTCATAATGCCATGTCAAGACAGCCAGTGCCTGAAGCAGCAAAGCAACCCCAAAACATCAGTGAACCTTCATTTTTGACTGTATTCGTTTTGTTAAAGACCTTATTTCTCTTTCTGAAAACAGTAGAATGATGGGCTTTAGCAAAAATACGTAATTTTGTTTTGTCAGTCCCACAGTGCAGTCTGCCAAAAGGATTTTGTCTCTCTCAGGTAAGTTTTGGCAAACTCCAATCTGGCTTTTTAGGTTTCTGTGTCAGCAGTGGGGTCCTCCTGGGTCTCCTACCATAGTGTCCCTATGTCCCTAGTTCATTCAGATGGTGACACATAGTGCGAGCTGACACAGTTGTATCCTGTCAGCTTGAATTTGTCTGGAAGTTGATCAAGGTTCTTAATCCACCGTTCGAACAGTTCTTTGATGCAATCTTTGATCAAGTTTTTCTCTTTAGTCCAGGGAGATTAGCTACAGTGCCATGGGCTGTAAATGTCTTGTTTGCACACAGTGGGCACAGGAACATTAAGATCTGTTAATTGATACAGGTGAATTTAAAATCACAAAATTACAGGAATGCAATTATTTCTTACAATTTTGAGAAGGTGCCAATATTTTTGTCCAGTCCATTTTTGGGGGTTTGCGTGGAATGTGTCAGAACTGGCTTTTTGTTTCTACACTTTTTGGTGTCATACCAATACAAACAAAAGAATAAAACATGAGAATGCATAAACATTTGTAATTGCAACAATTTTCGGGGCGAAGTGGTTCATTATAATGACAGAAATGCAGGGGTGCCAAAAATTTTTTGGCCATGACTATATATATATCATATATACACAATACATATATATATATATACATATATACATATATATATATATATAACACATATACACACACATACACATACATATACAATATATACACACACACACACACACACACACACACACACACACACACGCGGTTTAAAAAAAATTAAAAGGAACACTTTGAAAACACATCAGATCTCAATGGGGAAAAAATATCATGCTGGATATCTATACTGACAATGGGTAATGTGTTAAGAACGCAAGGATACCCCATCGTTTGAAGGAAATGAAAATTATCAACCTACAGAGGACTGAATTCAAAGACACCCCGAAAATCAAAGTGAAAAAATGATGCTAGTCCTTTTTGCTAAACTTTCATTGCAGCAACTCAAAATGGTACTCAGTAGTTTGTATGGCTCCCACATGATTGTATGCATGCCTGACAATGTTGGGGCATGCTCCTAATGAGATGACGGATGGTGTCCTGGGGTATTTTTTCCCAGATCTGGACCAGAGCATCACTAATGGACCGAAACATGATATCCCAGAGGTGTTCTATTGGATTTTGGTCAAGTGAGCATGGGGGCCATTCAGTGGTATCAATTCCTGCATCCTTTCGGAACTGCCTGCATACTCTCGCCACATGAGGCCAGACATTGTCATGCACGAGGAGGAACCCAGGACCCACTGCACCAGCGTAAGGTCTGACAATGGGTCAAAGGATTTCATCCCGATACCTAAGGGCAGTCAGGGTGCTATTGTCTAGCCTGTAGAGGTCTGTGTGTCCCTCCATGGATATGCCTCCCCAGACCACCAATGACCCATCACCAAAACGGTGATGCTGAACAATGTTACACGCAGCCCAACATTCTCCACGGCTTCTCCAGATCCTTTCACATCGTCACATGTGCTCAGGGTGAACCTACTCTCATCTGTGAAAAGCGCAGGGCGCCAGTGGCAGACCTGCCAATTCTGGTGTTCAATGGCAAAGGCCAATCGAACTCTATGGTGCCAGGCAGTGAGCACAGGGCCCATTAGAGGACATCAGGCCCTCAGGCCACCCTCATGAAGTCTGTTTCTGATTGTTTGGTCAGAGACATTAACACCAGTGGTCTGCTGGAGGCCATTTTGTAGGGCTCTGGCAGTGCTCATCCTGTTCCTCCTTGCACAAAGGAGCAGATACCGGTCCTGCTGATGGGTTAAAGGATCTTCTACGGCCCTGTCCAGCTCTCATAGAGTAACTGCCTGTCTCCTGGAATCTCCACCATGCTCTTGAGACTGGGCGACATGGTAAACCTTCTGGCAATGGCACAAATTGATGTGCCATCCTGGAGGAGTTGGACTGCCTGTGTAACCTCTGTAGGGTCCAGGTATTGCCTCATGCTACCAGTAGTGACAGTGACAAGATGAGTAGGGAAAAAAATGTCAGTGGCCTCCACCTGTAAAACCATTCCTGTTTTGGAGGTTGTCTCATTGTTGTCCATCTAGTGCACCTGTTATTTCATTCATACCAAAGCAGCTGAAACTGAACAACAACCCCCTTTGCTACTTAACTGACCAGATCAATGTTGCAGGAGTTTAAT